CTCTGTGAGTTCAAGGCCAGCCTGATCTACATAGTGAGTTCCAGGACAGCTGGGGCTAAAAAAAAAAAAAAAAAAAAAAAAAAAAAAAGTGAGTAGGAATAGAAATGACTCTGACTTTCTTTCAAAGGACCGACCATTATCAGCCAGAGAGAGGAGGCGACTAAAGCAGTCTCAGGAAGAGATGTTCCCCTCAGGTGAAGTTGGCTTCCTTATTTAATTGGTTGTTGATGGCTGTTCATAAGCACTGGCTCTGATGATGATCTGATTGTGCTCTCTTCCATGGAATAGACAGGAAGCTGGAGAATGGTGCTGCATGGGGCTGAGGGCTGTGGATTATTCCTATTAGCATTATCTAAATGTTGTACTAAGCGGTTACCATTTACTGAAGGTGACTGTCTCTCCAGCATTATGGTACATATCTTAAGGGTAGTGTATTGTTCCATACTTATAGTTACTATCAAAGGTAGGCTGTATTATCCTGCTTTTGCAGGAGAGGAAACTGAGGTTCCAAAGGGTTAAGTAACTTGCCTAAGGTCCCAGAGCTGGGAGACCCAGGACTAAGATATGATCTGAGGTGACAGACAGCAGAATGGTGATAAGCATGCTGTTGGAGCAACTCTGGCTGGCCCTTCTGGGGTATCCCCTATATCCTGTTCAAAGTCCTCTTCAGCTGAGTCTAGCCACCACACAGAAATCCTTGGATGTTCATTTTTTCAGGTCCTTCAGTGGAGAGAACGCCTCTGAGTGCAGCAGGGGCAGCAAAACCACCAGAGGAATGCCAGCCTATCTCCGCCCGACAGTTCTCTTCTGATTGCAGTATCACTCAGGAGCATCACACACTCCTGAAGGAAAAGGTGGATACGTCCACAGGGAAACCCAATACTGTAAACCTCACAAATGTCAGCATCAGTTATTTAGGGGTAGGGCTGATTAAATGACTTTGTTTTGTTTTGTATTTTTTTTTTTTTTTATTAAGGCCAGGGTAGCTGTTGGCTTTAATCCCAGCACTTAGGAGGCAGAATCAGGAGGATTTCAGAGTTCAGGTCAAGCTTGGTCTACCTAACAAATTCTACACCAACCAGGGCTAAAAAAAAAACCAAAAAAAAAACAACCAACCTTTCTTAGGGTAGTCTTTTTTTGGGAGGTATAGGGGGCAGTACTGGGGATTGAACCCAGGGCCTCATACTTGATAGGCAAGTGTACTACCACTAAGCTATATTCCCAGCCCCGGGTTTTATTTTTGAGACAGAATCTTGCTAAATTGCCCAGATCAGCCTTAAATCCATTGTGTAGCCAAGGCCTAGACTTCATTTTGTAATCCTCTTGCCTCAGCATCTGGAGCAGCTGAGATTACAGGCCTGCACCACCAGGCTAGGATAGGAGTTTCCATTAAACAGCACTTTGCCTATTCTGCAGGTACCAGTATGCCCATCTGTATGGCCAGATTTCAATGTCACTTGCTAATCATCATTCCTTAGTTCCGGTTTATGTCAAATTACAGTTTTTTGAGGCAGAATCTCCTCAAACTCACCATGTGGAGCTGAGGCCAGCTTGGGACTTGGGGCAGTTTTCTGCCTTAACCTTCTGGGTGCTAGGTTATAGATGGGAACCACCACATGTGGTTTTGTTTTTAAAACCAGCCAGAGTCGCTCCAACAGCATGCTCATCACTATTCTGCTGTGTTTTTGTTTTTAAAAGATTTATGTGTAGATACGTATATGTGTCTCTCTGTGTGTATGTATACCTGTGTGTGGGTACCCACAGAGGCCAGAAGAGGGCATTGGATTCCCTGTAGTGGAGTTACAAATGGCTATAAGCTACCTAATATGGGTTCTGGGAACCAAACTCTGCTCCTCTGCAAGAGCATTCAAACTCTGAGCCATCTCTCCAGCCCTCTGGCTGTGTTGTTTAACAGTGTCATTTAGTTACTTCACTAATTGAGGTGACATTTCCACTTCCTAAAGTTGTAAGGTTTATGTCAATGATATTAGGTATATCCTTAAAGAACTTTAATAGTCTCACCTATGAGCAAACTGAAATTGCCTTGATTTAGATGGCATTCTGTCTAGTGTAAAATGCCATTCCTTATGGGATAAACCTTCTGCCTGAGAACTGAATCACTAGAACAAGTCACCAGCTGGCCTCTGGAAAGGAGCTTTCTTTAGCTGACATTCTATGGCCTTGTAAAGCTTCACCTTAAAGTTCATTAGTCCTAACTTGTGAGCTTCAGGACTGAACTGGGACATCATTACGATAAACTAACTTCAATTCTTCTGTTAGTTTCTACTAATTAATTGCATGTAGGCATATGTCTAATTGTTGTATCTAAAACTGTTTGATACAGTACATTCTAGTGTTGTCATGTAGAATTTTGTTTTTACAAATATTAATAGGAAAGGAAACTGATACATTGTCTGTCTGAGGAGGAGTTAAGTTCATCTACAAGTTCAACTGATAAGTCAGATGGGGATTCCAGGGAAGGGTAAGTTCTTGTTTTTCTTTCTCACTTCTGTGTGAACTAACCCTAAAAAGTATTCTGACCTGTGGTGGTCTCATCAGTAATATCACAAATGGTTTGTGGTACATGCTAGAGCTTAAATAAATATAAATATAAAATATTAAGTAACACAATATAATTTTCATTTAGAATTCTTTTTTAAAAATTATTTTTATTTTAGAGCTGGAGAGATGGATCATTGGTTAAGAGCACTGACTGTTCTTGTAGAAGACCCAGGTTTGAATCCCAGCACCCACATGGCAGCTAACAACTGCCCGTAACTCTAGTTCCAGGGGATCTGACAGCCTCTTCTGTCCTCCATGGGAATTGCACGACATAGGTGCACTTACATACATACAGGCATAATACTCCTACACATAAAATAAAAATAATAAATTAAAATATATGTATATATAGTTTAAAATAATTTAATAAAGTGTTATTTTCATAAATAGTGTATGGACACCAGGCATGGTGGTGTGCATCTTTAATACCAGCACTCAAGAGACAGTTGAAGGCAGATAGATCTCTCTAAGGCCTAAGCTAGCCTGTTCTTCACAAAAGATGTTTAACTGCTTCAACTCAGAGTGTGAATGGTGGCTATGAACCGTCCTTAACTCCAGTTCCAGGGGAATCCAAAGCCCTCCTCTGACCTCCGTGGCATCGCACGACACGGGTGCACTCACATACATGCAGGCAATACACTTATACACATAAAATAAAAATAATAAAATAAAAAATATATATATATTTTAATTTTGTGTGTATGAGTGTATTGCCTGCATGTAGGTAAGTGCACCCATGTTATGCATTGCCAGCAGAAGTCAGAAGAGGGCATTGGTGCCAGGCGTGGTGGCGCACGCCTTTAATCCCAGCACTCGGGAGGCAGGGGCAGGCAGATCTCTCTGAGTTCGAGGCCATCCTGGTCTCCATAGTGAATCCAGGCCAGCCGTGGCTACAGGGAGACCCTGTCTCAAAAAAAAAGATGATGGCATTGGATCCCCTGGAACTGGAGTTATGGGTGGCTGTTAGCAGCCATATGGGTGCTGGGACCCGAACCTGGGTCCTCTGTAAGAGCAGCCAGTGCTTTTAACAGTTGTGCCATCTCTCCAGCCCCATCTTTGCAACTTTTGACTAGAACAGGTCCTGTGAATTTTTTCTCATTGGGACTGGTGTTTCTGTGTTTCTTTAAATATGCCTTTCTTTTTTTTTCTTTTCTGTTTTTGTGTTTTTGTTGTTTTTGAAACAAGGTTTCCCTGTAGCCCCAGCTGACCTGGAAACTCACTATGTAGACCAGGATTGGGCTTGATCTCACAGCCTCCTGAGTCCTGGGATTAGACATGCGCCTCTGTACCACCACACCTGGCTTCTTTTTTTGGTTTTTTGAAACAAGATCTCATTAGATAGCCCAGGCTGGCCTCAAACTCATTCTCCTGCCTCTGTCTTAGAGTGCTGCCACGCCTGGCCTCTTGAAATAATCTTGACCTTTATATTTGGGTCTAGTTGAGTCAGCAGAATTTGTACATGCTTCTTTCTGGCCCTCTCCTTTCCAGGATTCTTCTCACATTTTACTGACAATGGTTGTCTTGAATCCTGCCCCTTGATGCTGCAGGTCAGAAAGCCTGCAGATTTCTTCCTTTGCTTTGAAATGTCTGTGGCCCAACCGTTAGGCTAAGAACTGTTACCTCCCTTCCTTAGTTAGCCAGCAGGTTTTATCCATTCTGCATTGCCTTTCTGTTGATTTTTGTATTTTGCAAGATTATAGTTATTTGTTAAAGGGTCATTCTGTAAGACAGCTTACACCAACATTTGCAAGCAGAATTCCCTAAAGGTCATTGTGCTGGATAGTTTTGGTTATCAATTTGACACAGAGGGAACCCTCATTCAGGGAAATTCCTCTATCTGGAATTGGCCTGTGGGCATGTCTGTGAAGGATTTTCTTGATTGATGTGGGAGGGCCCAGACCGCTGTGGGTGATGCCATCCCTGGATAGGTGGTCCTGGGTTGTATAAGAAAGCAGACTACCCCACATGGTGGTACATGCCTTTAGTCCCAGCACTCAGGAGGCAGAGGCAGGCTGATCTCTGTGAGTTCAATGCCAGCCTGGTCTACCTATTGAGTTCCAGGACAGCTGGGCCTACAGGAAGACCCTACAGGAAGACTGAAAATGGGGCATGGTGGTGTGCAGAAGCAGGTGGAGCTCTGTGAGTTCAAGGCCAGCCTGGTCTACACAGCAAGTTCTAGGCCAGCTGGGGGAGACCCTGACTCAAAAAGACCAAAAAAAAAAAAAACCAACAAAAAACAAAAAAACAAAAAAACTGGAGGGGCTGGAGAGATAGCTCAACAGTTAAGAGTACTGGCTGTTCAAATCCCAGTTCCCACATGGCAGCTAACACACATGCAGGCATTACATTCATACACATAAAAATAAATGACTAGCCGGGCGTGGTGGCGCACGCCTTTAATCCCAGCACTTGGGAGGCAGATGCAGGAGGATCTCTGTGAGTTCAAGGCCAGCCTGGTCTACATAGTGAGTTCCAGGACAGCTGGGGCTACAGGGAGACCCTGTCTCAAAAAGACCAAAATATAGCCGGGCATGGGGATACATGCCTTTAATCCCAGCTCTCAGGAGGCAGAGGGGCGGGGCTCTCTGTGAGTTCAAGACCAGCCTGGTTTAAAGGGGGTGTTTCGGGCCCGGGGGGGGTAAAAAAAAAAAAAAAAAAAAAAAAAAAAAAAAAAAAAAAAAAAAAAAAAAAGACCAAAAAATAAATAAAAATAAATGAATAAAAATTTAAAAAGCAGACTGAGCATAAGCCCGAGGAGCAAGCCAGTAAGCAGTGTTCCTTCATGGATTCTGCTTCAGTTCCTACCTCCAGGTTCCTGCTTGAGTTCCTGCACTGGCTTCCCTCAAAGAAGAACTGTACTGTAAACTGAAATAAGCCCCCCACACTCCAAACTGGTTTTGGTCTTGGTCAATGTTTTATCACAGCAGTAGAAAGCAGAGTAACAGAGTCAACTTTTTGTTCTTGCTGTTGAGACAGGGTCTCCCCTGTAGCTGCAGGTGGGCTGGAACTGGCTATGTAGACCAGGCTGGCCTTGATTTCAGAGAGATCCACCTGCTGCTGCCTCCCAAGTGCTGGGATTAAAGGTGTGCATCAGCCTGTGTGTTGGCACACACCTTTAATCCCAGCACTCGGGAGGCAGAGGCAGGCAGATCTCTGTGAGTTGGTGAATCTGGGACAGCAGGGGCTACAGGGAGACCCTGTCTCAAAAAGACCAAAAAAAGAAAGAAAAGAAGTGTACACCATGCCTGGTTTGTATCTAACTTTTAAAGAAAAATTCTCATGAAGCCAAGTAAATTAATAAGGGAATTTTTTCCCTCAGGAAAAGTCATGCAAATGAGATGAGTGACTTGGTACAACTGATGACTCAGACCCTTAAGCTGGATTCTAAAGAGAGCTTTGAAGAAGTACCAAATCCAATCTCAGAATTCAAACTTCATCGAAAGTATCGTGATACTCTGGTACTTCATGGGAAAGTTGTGGAAGAGGCAGAGCTCCAGTGCAAAGAGCTATCGTCAGGTGATTAGCTTATTATTTCACAGCAAACTAGCAAATGTATTTATTGGAGAAATATGTCACACCAAGATGCTAGTACCTGTAAGTTATTTGTATTTTAGAACTTCGTTTGGATATCTACATAAAAGATGTATCTTGCTGCACACATTTAATCCCAGCACTTGGGAGCAGAGGCCTCCCGAGTGCTGGGATTATAGGCGTGTGCCACCACGCCTGGCAAATAAAGGAATTTTTAATAATGTGTTGGTATGCGTGTTGTGTGGGGATATGTACACGAGTGCAGTTGCCTGTGGAGAGTGGAAGAAGGGTGTTAGATCCTGTGGTGCTGGAGTTATAGGTAGTTGTGTGCCCACCTGCTGGTTACTGGTACCAGAACTCCGGTCCTATGCAAGAGCAGTATATACGCTATACTTTTTTTTTTTTGTCTTTTTGAGACAGGGTCTCCCTGTAGCCCCAGCTGGCCTGGAACTCACTATGTAGACCAGGCTTGCCTCGAACTCACAGAGATTCATCTGCCTCTGCCTCCCAAGTGCTGGAATTTAAGGCATACACCACTACACCTGGTGAGCAGTATGTACTCTTAACCATTGAACGTCTATAAAGGTGTATCTTATTTAGTCAATAGATACATTTTTTAGTCAATAGATACATTATTTAGTCAATAGATACATTTAGTCAATAGATACATTTAGTCAATAGATACATTCCAAAAACTTTCATGAAAGCTTTTATTTTTTTACTTTTTTTAACAAGTTTAATTTTTATTTTTATTCATTATTTTTATGTATGTTATGCTTGCATGTATGTGAGTGCACCCATGTCATGCAATGCCCGCAGAGGACAGAAGAGGCTTTTGGAGCCCCTGGAACTGGAGTTACTGACAGTTGTTAGCTGCCATGTGGGTGCTGGGAATCAAACGCAGGTCTTCTGCAAGAACAGTCAGTGTTTTTAACCCCTGAGCCATCTCTCCAGCCCTTTTATTTAATATTTTATTATTTTTATTGTATGTGTGTATTCCCTGCATGTAGGTAAGTGCACCCGTGTCATGCAGTGCCCATGGAGAACAGAAGAGGCTGTCGGATTCCCTGGAACTGAAGTTACGGACAGTTGTTAGCTGCCATGTGGGTGCTGGGATTTGAACCTGGGTCTTCTGCAAGAACAGTCAGAATTCGTAACTGCTGATCCATCTCTCCGGCCCCTTACTTTTACTTACTCAGACTGACTTCAAACTTGCTCTGTAGCTGAGGATAACTTTGAACCCCTAATCTTACTGCCTCAGTCTCCTAAGTGCTGGAATTACAGGCATTTGCCACCCCATGTAGCTTGAAAATTGATTTAATTACTTTTCATGTGTATGAGTGTTTTGCATGCTTGTAAATGCACCACATGTCTTCAGTGTCTTCAGAGGTCAGAAGAGGGCATCCAATCCTCTGGAACAAGAGTTATGAACAGTTGTTAGCCATCATGTGGGTGCTGGGAAACTGAACTGGGTCCTCTGCAAGAGCAGCCAGTACTCTTAACTGCTGAACCATCTTGCCAGCCTCATTGAAACTGATTTTTAAAAATAAATGTAAATAACCCTTATTACATTGTGTAAAATGCTTGGACATTTTTAAGTGAAACTTTCAAGTTAGACAGTTATGGTTTGGGGTTTTGTTTTCCTTTGTTTCATTTTTTCAGACTCTGGAGAGGGCAGTGAGCATGAAGCATAAATGCTGGTATACCTTTTTAGTCACTACAGTACTAGAGGGGCTGGAGAGATGGCTCTGCGGTTAAGAGCACTGGCTGCTCTTGCAGAGGATCTGGGTTTGGTTCCAGTGCTCATGTGGTAGCTAACAACTGTCTCTGTAACTCCAGTTCCAGGGGATTCAATGCCCTCTTCTGACCTCCAGAGGTACTGCAGACATGTGGTGTACTTGCATAGAGGCAAAACACTCAGACACATGAACTGATTTTTATTTATTTGTATGTGTGTGTCTGTGAGTGTGTACCACATATGTGTGGGTGTCCAAGGAGGCCAGAAGAGGCATCAGATTCCCTGGAGTTGCAGGCAGTAGTGAGCTGCCTGACTTGGGTGCTGGGAACTAAACTTGGGTCCTCTGGAAGAGTGGCAAGCACTCTTAATCACTAAGCCATCTCTCCAGCCTCACCAAAAAGGCTTAAAAAATTTTTTTTTAAGTATATAAATAAGTCAGGCACAGTGGTTAATGCCTGTAATCCCTATATTCAGGAGGCAGGAAGATCACTTCAAATATAAGGCCTACCTGAGTTAGAGTAAAACCCTGTCTCAGACAAACAAAAAAATATACAAATTACCTGACCTGAAATAGAAGGGAGACTTTTTGAGGGGAAGGGGACCAGTGATAGGTAGTGGGAGGCAGTTAACCACCAAGATACCATGATAGATGATCATAAAAATCATAATGAAACCCATTGTTTTGTACACCAACTAAAAAATTAAAATTTTAAAACAGAAAAATGTATATAAATAAAGCCATTGAGCTAAATTCTTGTCAATATGAAAAGAACCCTAACAAGATTTTTGTTGTTAATTGTATAGTGATGAATGTTTATTTTCCTTGTTTTTGTTCTTGCTCTTTTAGTGATCATACCAGGTTCTGAAAAGATCAGGAGAATAGTTGAAGTCTTGAGAGCGGATGTAATCCAGGGCCTGGGGGTTCAGCTTTTAGAGCAGGTATTTGAGCTTCTGGAAGAGGAAGATGAACTGGAGAGAGAGGTAAGGATCTCCCTATCTGTGTTCATAACTGTGTCAAGCTGCTTATGTTGTAATTTCATTTTCTAACTTATTTTTATGTGTATTCGTGTATTGTCTGCATGTATGTAAGTGCACCAGTGTCATGCAGTGCCTAGGGAGGTCAGAAGAGAGTGTTGGATCTCCTGGAACTGGAGTTATGGATGGTTGTTAGCCACCATGTGGGTGTTGGGAAGCATACCTGGGTCTTCTTCAAGAGCAGCCAGTGCTCTTAAGCACTGAGCCATCTCTCTAGCCCCTTGTTTTGTTTTTTTGAAACAGGGTCTCCCTGTAGCTCCAGCTGGCTAGGAACTTACTCTGTAAACCAGGCTGGCCTTGATCTCACAGAGATCCACTTGCCTCTGCCTCCGGAGTGCTAGGGTTAAAGGTATGCACCACCACATCTGGCTGATGTAAATTCATAAAGCAATTAATAATAAAAAAATATATATGTGCATATATATATATGTGTGTAAATGTAAAACTCATGGGGTCAGGTATGTTGGCGCACACCTTTAGTCCCAGCACTTGGGAGGCAGAGGCAGGCGGATCTCTGTGAGTTTGAGGCCAGCCTGGTCTACGTAGTGAGTTCCAGGACAGCTGGGGCTATAGAGAGACCCTGTTTCAAAAAGACAAAATAATTATATATATTATATATATATAAAATATATATCACGTGCAACTCATTTTGTCCACTATATATATGTGATTTATATATGTGATTTTATATACGTAGACGTGATTTTTAATGTTTAATCATCACCAGTGTTTGAACATTTCATAGCCAACCCCCCCCCAAAGAATTCAGTACCCTTAAGTAGTATTTCTCTGTCTGTTCATTCCTGTCCCCTGATCAACCAGATACTTCTCTCTGCATGTATTTGCCTATTCTAGATAGTTCATGGTAGACAAGTGCTTTACCACTGAGTTACACTCTAAGAGCCTTTGACATTTCTGAAGAGTATAAAATGTTTTATAAGCCGGGTGTGGTGGAGCACGCCTTTGATCCCATCACTCGGGAGGCAGAGGCAGGCGGATTTCTGTGAGTTCAAGGCCACCCTGGTCTACAATAGTGAGTTCCAGGACAGAGAGACCCTGTCTCAAAAAAAAGATAAAAAAAAAAAGTTTTATAAAACTATCACTTGGTTTGTATTTCCCTCTTTCTGTTCTGCTCTATTCTTTTTTAGACAGGGTCTCATGTATCCCAGGCTGACCTAAAATTTACTATGTACCTTGAACTTCTGACCCTCCTATCTCCATACCCCAAGTGCTGGGATTAAAGGCAAATGCTGCCAGGCATGGTGGCCTATGGGGCACGCTGGGCGCCAGGTGTGGGGTGCGCGGGTATCTGCTTCTGCGCTGCTTCCCTGCGTCTTTCGTGGCTCTCTGCTGCTGGGGGCTTTGCCCAGCCGTGTCCCGCCCTAATTTCACCCGTGCACTTTCCTCAAGATGCAAAATCCACCGGCTCCTGGATCATGCGGGAGAGTGTGAGGGCGGCTAAAGCTGGGATCCGTGAGTCGGTGACAGAAAGACAGCTCTTCCCGGGAAGGCTGGATTGTAGGCAGTGAGACAAGACTCAGCTCAGTCAGACTCAGTGTTACAGCTCTTTATTCAATGGCTCTGCGTGGCTCCAAGCCTCAGTGTCCCAGAGTGATCCAGCTCCTTCAATTATTGAGGGGAATCAGGGAACTTTATACCGTGGGGGTAGTGGTAAAAGCTTCAGCTGATAGGTACTTTGGGGATGCCTCATTTGCGTGTGGAAATGGGCTCCCGCCAGGCTGCCAAAGTACTTGAAAACCACACCGGAAAGCCTAATGGTTACAGAGCCGGAGGCTACATTCCTGTGGCTGCTACTTCACAAAGGAGTCAGGAAAAACGCCGGGAAGACGCCCTGCTGTGAAAGGAGTCTCTGCATATGGCTCCGAGCTCGTGAGCTATCCGGACATGAAGAAACTTCTACTTTACACAACAAAGGTCCCCAACAGTGGCCCACGCCGGTAGTCCCAGAACTTGGGAGGCAGAGGCAGGCAGATCTCTGTGAGCTCAAGGCCAGCCTGGTCTACATAGTGAGTTCCAGGACAGCTGGGGCTACAGGGAGACCTGGCTTCAAAAAGACCAAAAAAAAAAAAAAAAAAAAAACCCGCAAATGCGATTTCCTGCATGCTATGCAAGCACTCTACTAAGCTACATCCCCAGCCACTGGATTCTTTTGAGTTAGGGCCTGTTTTGTAACCCAGACTGGCTTCATATTGGCAGTCCTCCCTTTGCCTCCTGAGTGCCATGATTATAGACATGTGCCACCAAGCCTGGCCAGGTTATCTTCTGTATGAGTGTTTTGCTTGCATATATATATGTAAGTGTACCCATGCTATACAATGCTTGTGGAGTCCAGAAGAGGGTGTTGGATCCCCTGAAACTGGAGTTATGGATGGTTGTTAGCCACTATGTGCGTGCAGGGAACTGAACCCAAGTCCTCTGTACTCAACTGCTGAACCATCTTTTAAAGACAGGTTTTCCTGTAGTCTAGGCCAATTTCAAATTCACTATATAGGCTGGCCTTGGACTCCTAATGCTCCTGCCTCTACTTTCAAGTTAAGCATTTTTTTATTTAGAATACTAACAAAGTAATGTGTCCTCAGTGCACAGTATCAGGGTATGTTTGATAACCATTTAACATACTAGGTATTATTCTAATTTTAAGCATTTCTTTCAACAGATACACACTGTTATGCCCCAGTCTTTTTTGGTTACTAGTCAGGTGTTTTTTTTTCTTTTTGTGTTTTTTGACACAGAGTCTCTCTGTAGCCCCAGTTGGCCTTGAACTCAGAGATCCCCATGTCTGCCTCCTGAGTCCTGGGACTAAAGGCATATGCCACCACGCCTGGCTACTAGTCAGGTTTTGTTAAGCCCAATTCCTTTTATATTTTGAGACAGGGTCTCACTAAGTTACTCTGGCTGGCTTCAAATTTACTCACTGTAGCCCAGGCAAGCCTTGAACTCAAGACCTCCCTGTCTCAGTCACGAGTACTTGAGATTGAGGCCTGGCTTTGAAGTTTTAAATTTTTATGTAAGCCAGGGGCAAGAAGACTCATCGGATAAAAGTGCTTGTCATGCAAACCTGACAACCTGAGTTTGATTCCCAGCCATCAGGGCAGAAGGAGAGAGTCAACTCTCCCATACAGTTGTCCTCTGACTACATGTATGCTATGGCATGTATACTCCCCTGTATATCATAAACACACAATAATAATTTTTATGTAAACAGAACTATTGGTATTTTCCCATATGATTTCCTCCTTGGTGTGATACTTAGGAAAGCCTTTCTTTTAAGATTATAGGAATTATTTTTTTCTATCATGTACTTATTTTCTTTTTATGTTTCCCAAATAGGCACGTTTACAGAAGCACATGGGTGAAAAGTACAAAGCTTACAGCATAAAAGCTCGCCAGCTGAAATTTTTTGAAGAAAATGTGAATTTTTGAGACTGTTCTAACCTGCAGCCAGAACAAAAGACCTATTTTCAAAGGGGTTTCCCTTAAAAACAAAGATTCAGTTGTTCAGGGGCCACTTGCCATCCTTTAATATTTCTTCAGGGTTTAGACAGAATAATATAAAGCAAGTTCACAAAAGAAACACTGAAGATCATATTCTTTAAAGAGGAAAAAAATGTTACATTTGTCCAATCACTGCTTACTGAGCCTTAAACCAACTTTCTGTCTAGAAGTTTATTTTTGTAACTAGCTTGAAGACAGGGCCATAAAAACATTGTTTTGTTTGTTTGTTTGAGACAGGTTCTCCCTAGTCTCATCCTGCGTGGAAGTCAGTATGTGGACCAGGCTGGCCTGCCTGAGGCCTCAGATTAAAGTCACTAGCCTAGCATTAGATTGGTTTTTATATTTTACTACAGTGATAAAGGCCACGAAACAAAAGACATTTCTAGTGATAATACCTGTGATTGTTACTAACCTTAGAGAGTAGCTGATATATTCTCTAAAGTTAATTCACTATTTTGGGAATAGATTTAAGTTCCTCATAGTATTTGAAAAAGTGTTTTCTTTTTTTCATGTTATCAATGGACTTTTTAAAACTTTTCATTGAATATAAACCTCATTTAGGGTATACAAGAGTTAATCTAAAGCTTATAACTTTGTGAATCATTTTGACCTTATATACATTTTGTTAGATTTATTTTTTCAGTCAGCAAAAACATTCATTTAGGGTATACAAGAGTTAATCTAAAGCTTATAACTTTGTGAATCATTATGATCTTATATACATTTTGTTAGATTTTTCAGTCAGCAAAAACATCTCCTAAACAGAAATTCCTCTTCTAAGTAAGAAATTTATAAGGAAAGTTTAAGTCCTTTTAGCTCTATTTCATGTTGTCTTTGAAGTTTATCTTCATGTACAAGAAGATAATGGTTGCCTTTCTATGTTTTAAATGTGTAATTATAAGGCTGTGTATGGTGGTGCACACCTGTAATTTAGCACTTGGGATCCCGACAAAGGCAGGTGGGTCATGAGTTCAAGGCCAGTTTGGGCTATAAAGTTGAGACCCAGCCTCAAAAATATGAAAAATTATTGTGTATCATGTATTTTATTAGTTGTCTAATAAGAAGTAATGCTCATCTAGAAAAAGTTTATAAATAAAATACAAGTTTTGAATAAATTTTCAATTTATATTTATTTAAAGACTCCATGCTGGGCATGATGGCGCACACCTTTAGTCCCAGTGCTCTAGGGACAGAGGCAGGCAGATCTCTGTGAGTACAAAGCCAGCCTGGTTTACATAGTTCCAGGCCAGTTGGGGCTACAGGACCAAAAGACTCCAAAAAAAAAAAAAAGACTTAAAAATGAGTAATTCTTGATGTTTTATTCCTAGGAAAAAATTTCATTTTGAGAATTACACATACACAAATAACTTTAATGAAATGGTCTCTTTCAGTAACTTGTATAGTTTCTGAGACTTATTTTATTATTACTCTGAAGGGTTTACTAGAACAACTTATAGACCCAGTGCCCATTTGGGGATAAATCTTTGGCAAACTGCTGGTCTTCCTAAGCTATTAACCTTTTCCTACATGTTCTGGAATCCCACACCTTTAGTCCCAGCACTTGGGAGGCAGAGGCAAGTGGATCTCTTGAGTTTAAGGCCAGGCTGTACTACGTAGTGAGTTCCAGGCCAGCTGGAGCTATAGGGAGACCCTGTCTCAAAAAAAGAGAAGACTCTACCAACAAAAGGGAAAAAAAGGAGGGAAAAAAAAGAATTTACCTTAGAATGCTGGTGAGGTAGCTCTGCAGGTAAAGGCATTTGCCATCAAGCTAGATGACTAGAGTTCAACCCCCAGGACCCATATGGAGAACTGACTTCCACAGTTGTCTTCTGATTGCTACATGTATGCTCCCTCCCAATAAATACCAGATGACCTAAGCATCATCTCTAGAACCCACCTGGCAGGAGATAGCCAACTCCTGTGAATCCTGACATCCACGAGTGTGCCGTGGAAGGCACGCTGCCTTGGCATGTGCACGCTCTCATAACATGCACAAAATATATTTTTTTAAAAAGACAGCATTTAAAAAAAAAATCTAGGAACCCGTGCTCACTTCGGCAGCACAAATACTAAAATTGAAATGATACAGAGTAGATTAGTATGGCCCCTTGAGCAAGGATGACATGCAAATTCGTGAAGCATTCCATACTTAAAAAATAAAAATCTAGGAACTTTCGGCTATACAATGTAAAAATATTACATTTTCAGAACCATAAACTTCTTTCCAAATTTGGCATTTTACTAATAGTTTCGCAAAATAATCAAGAAAAGATGCTTTAGACATAGAATTAACTGAAGACATTAGAACAGTTTAGGGATTCATGATTTAACTTTGACAGATTAGATTATCAGCCAGGTTTGGCAGCATATGCCTGTAATCTCAGTACTTTGGGAGGCAGAGACAGAATGGCAAGTTTGGGGATAGTCAAGGCTACAGAGTGAGACGATTACAAAAATATACTGAAAAGAAAAAAAAATGTACTGCCAGTTATGAGGTGTTTATTCATTATGCTGTTTGCCTACTCATATTTTCTGTTCTCCATAACAAGATTATGAAGAGATGGTATAAGATATCCATAAATTAAAATTGAATTAGAAGTGAGACAAAGACAACTATATCTCTACACAGTGGTACTGTAAGAACATGGGTGGTTTTAGCTCATGTTTTGGTTATGAAAACAACTTAGCTCATAGAGCAGGTGCTGAATCATGAAAGCCCCAATCAATTATTTTTAGCATGCCTCTTAATTTTTCTCTCCCCTGATTTCTTGTCTTCTGTGCTTGAGTCTTGAACAGGTAACCACTTCAGGGGATGTCGGCGATATATTGGCCACGGAGGAAGCGTCAGCTAGACCAGAACAGAGAAAATGCATCATTTATTTCCACTAAAAGTTTTAAAGGTCATTATGTAATAATGGCTGGTCCCCAAATGACCACTATGCTAAAGATAAACAAACTGACCAGACAAGATATGTCAGGTGATGAGAACAGGCCTTAGTGCTTAAATATAAGGCACAGTGAGCACTGTGGGACATGTCTGCTATCTTTGACCTTACAGCCTGCTGTAGCTGCCAGAGGGAATAAGCTCTATTCTTTTATGCAGTTCACACCATCTGACACACCATCTGACATTACATGATATTCTCCGTATTTCCAACGATATGAAAGCTGAGGCAAGAGCTAACTCTGGTTCTCACTACTAGGTCCAGAAAAACCTGTTGCCGCTAACACTCAAAACACCCAGAAATTTCTTACCAAACAGGAGAAAGCAAATCCGGCCATAACTATATAGACAGTCCACCCAAACTGTTCAGCCACGTATCCGTAGATAAATCCAACGATCTAAGAAGAAACAAAAGTATATTAAATACAGTCGAGTTGGGGGAGATGGGATTCGAAGATTAATGTAAAACCAATACTTGCCGCAGAGAACAGAATAATTCCCTGAAACATCTGTTCAGCTAGCTTCTGACCCTTGTAATCCTAGGGACGAAAGAGAGGAGGAAGTGTCGGTCCTAGCGCCGAAAAAGTGCTATTCTTGCACGGAGTAGGGCAGTACTGGCACTAGGGGTTCCCCAGGAAGGTCTGCGTGAGGAAGCCAATTCTGGATTACCCGGGGGAACTGGGCACCCTAACGGAACACGGCTAAGGGGACCCTTTCCGGGGAAGAGAAGAGGGCCCCGGAGGGAGAGAAGGCGGCGGCGAACTTCGGGCTTGGGAACCGCGCTGTGTCCAGCTGGAGCTCAGCGGGCTTGGAAGGCGCCAGGCTCGGAGCGTGCTGGGACGCGCCGCGCCCTCACCATCTGCGTGGGCAGAGAACTTAAATGCTCCAGCATGATGGGCAGAGGAGAACCGTAGCAGGGCGAGGACCGGAACTTAGGGAGCGCAGCGGCCTGAGGGCGACAAGGAGAGCAGCCTGACCGACCCGTACAGCCCCTCAGAGCGTCTGCCACGGCCCCGGAACCGGATGTGCGCGACCGATCCCGACAGCTCGAGGCCCCGCCCCGCGCCATGGTGGCGAGAGGTGCGTCTCCTACATTCCCTAGAACCCAGCGCACGGCCCGCGGGGGATGAGGCCGCCACTATGCCTGAGCATCGCGCGCCCCTTAGGGCTACCGGCTTCCGGGAGCCGCGACCCCCGCAGGAACCACTCGCGGGCTGAGCTCCACGGCTTATCGGTCACTGGCGCGCTCCGCGTCTCCATGGCGACGGCCTCCGCGAGGACCCCGGCGGCGGGGCTGCCCCGCGGCGCCTGCTGCGCGCGGCTCTCTCGCGGCGGGCGCCACGGTCGCACTGGAGTTCGTGGCGCTGCGTGGCTGCCGCGGAGCTTGTGGAACAGGTGACCGAGGCCCAACTGCTGCGGACGCAGGCGGCCGGCAGTGGCCGGAGCCCTGGGGCCTGCACGGTGGGCGCTGAGTTGGCGGGGTGGGCCGGGACGCGGGCGGCGGCCCCTCCCAGTACAGGTAAGGGCAGCTGCGTGCGGCGTCCGCGGCCGGCGTTTTGTGTAACGCGGCCTATCCCGGGTGCAGCTGGGCCCGGCGTGGCCCGGCACGCCTGAGCTTAAGGAGGCTGCAGATGCCTCCTAGGACTAGGGAGAGAGCCCGAGCCGCCTCTGCAGGGAGCGGACTTGCCTCTGGAGCAGTCCCCCTGGCCGCCCTACCCCGTTTAGGGGTCCCACAGTGGACCCACCGGCTTTGATGGCGGCTTCCCTGGCTGGCACGCTGTAGGCCGGGCCCTCCGTGTAAAGAGCAGTCCCGTCCCTCCATCAGGGCTGGAGCTAGGTGGGGGACCCCGGCCCTCTGCTATGTGTACAGGGACATGCAGACCGGGCCTGGAGGGGAGTGGCTGCCGCCTGCGGGCACGGAGCCACTAAGTACTCCCTGCACTTTTCTGTCAGCCAGTGGACTCGGGTACAGCCATGGTCTTGCCTTTCTAGAGCCTGGATTTTGCCAAAGGAGATGGCCACCGCACTCCAGAAATATATGAATTAGCTGTGGGGGACAGAGGCCTAGGAGTTCTAGGAGCTCGGGGAGGTGCAGCCTGGAGTTTGGGAGGCTCCCTGTCCCTGAAAGTCAAATAGGAACTAGCCAGCGAAGGGGTTGGAGAAAGTTTACGAGTCTCCCTGTGTCTTTCAGTTTTTCAGTAAAATGCAGATCCCTTTGACACTTTTTGATGTCAGAAGGAAGAGCCAGCACGGGGAAGGGCAGGAGTTTGCTCCCCATGTATTTCGTGGTGTGTATAAACAAATTCTTAAGTATAAATAGACACATTTCATCTGGGTTGCATCCCTTCCAGTGCACTTCATAGGATGGTAGTAGCTGCAGAGACCATAGTGTTTAAACTATAGAACTATGGATACCCAGGCGTGGAGGGACATGCCTTTCATCTCAGCTACTCAAAAAACAATTTTCTCCTCAAAAAATCTGTCTTGGAAGCCTGGTGCCTGAGGTCTTCAAGCCCCATGTTGGGCGCCAGTTGTCAAAATGCCCGCCAAGCCCACCAGGCTTGGCTCTTCAACAAAAAAAGAGTCAAGACAAAGGTCCTGATTTTATTATAAAAAGTTTAATTCTTAGCAGTCAGGTGAGCAATCACAGAAAGACTTTTATGTTATGAGGAACACAGATCTTATATAGGAATCAGATTTGGGGTAACCGAGGAATCACCAAGGAATCACCATAGATATTTTACTAACAGAAAGTAACTAAGGACGCAGCAGGTTGCTGCATTACCTCACCAACTCCGGTGCCGGAAGACTGAACCGAAAGTAAGTTTCTAAGAGACCTGATTTATCATGGAGGCACAGCCCATCGGCTCTGACCACTGAAGCGGAGAGCTCTGAAGCTCTTAAAGTGACACTCTACTTTTTCCAATGCTTCAGTCAAGCATGGCTCCCGACAGTTGGTGACCTGATAATGGGAACAGAGATCTAAGGCAGAGGAAGCAAAGGCAGAGAAGAGTAGAGAATTCAAATATTAGTGTGGTGGCACAAGCCTTAATCCTAGCACTGGGGAGACAGAGGCAGATGGATCTCTGTGAGATCAAGGCCAACCTGGTCTGCATATTGAGTTCCAGGCTTGCTGGTGCTACAGGGAGACCCTTTCTTTAAATAAATTAATAAATAAATAAATAAATAAATAAATAAATAAGTAATAGTAAATCTTGGGACTAGGGATGTAGTTAAATGAAAAGAATGTATGTTTAGCATGTGAAAAGCCCTTGGTTTGCCGGGCATAGTGGCACACACCTTTAATCCCAGCACTTGGGAGGCAGAGGCAGGCAGATCTCTGAGTTCAAGGCCAGCCTGGGCTACAGAGTGAGTTCTAGGCTAGCTGGGGCTACAGGGAGCCCCGGTCTCAAAAAGACAAAACAAAACAACAAAACTGGATAGGGCCAGGCGTGGTGGCGAACACCTTTAATCCCAGCACCCATTAGACAGAGGTGGGTGGATGTCTGTGAGTTCAAGACCATCTTAGGTCTGCATAGGGAGTTCCAGGCCAGCCAGGACTTCATAGTCAGACCCTGACTCAGAAAAACAAACGGGCTGGAGAGATGGCTTAGTGGTTAAGAGCACTGATTGCTCTTGCAGAGGATCTGGGTTCAAATCCCAGGATCCACATGGTGGTTAGTAACGTTCTGTAACTCCAGTGAAGAGGCAGAGGAGGAGGAGGAGGAGGAGGAGGAGCAGGAGGAGCAGGGCTCAGCAGTCTCACTCGCTCAGACTCCCCAACCTCAGAGAGTATCAGGAGGGTTTCCCCGAACTCGTGGATCCCATCCACTGCAGGTACCTGCTCCTCCCCGCAGGCTTCCAGAGGTGGAGGGTTCAACACTTGAGCCCCCTGCCCCTCCTTTGCTAGCCCCCAAAATCTTCTATGTCAACCAGGAACCCTTTGCGGCCAAGGAGGCACAGTCAGGAGCTGGAACTCAGTCTGGAGGAGGAAAGGAGGAAACCAAAGCATTTTCTGGAGGGGACTCTGAGGGAAATGGGGAGCTAAGGTTCTTACTGTCCTCTGGAACAGGGGCAACGTCTGGGGCAGGGGATCCATCCTGGAAACCAGTGGATCTCCACGGGAATGAAATTCTGTCGGGGGGCGGAGGACCTGGAGGAGCAGGCCAGGCGGTGCATGGGCCAGTGAAGCTAGGAGGGACACCCCCTGCAGATGGAAAACGCTTTGGCTGCTTGTGTGGAAAGCGATTTGCAGTAAAGCCCAAACGGGATCGGCACATCATGTTGACTTTCAGCCTTCGCCCTTTTGGGTGTGGCATCTGTAATAAACGCTTCAAGTTGAAGCATCATCTGACAGAGCACATGAAGACCCATGCTAGAGCTCTGCACGCGTGTCCCCATTGTGGCCGTCGGTTCCGTGTCCATGCCTGTTACCTTCGCCACCGGGACTTATGCAAGGGCCAGGGCTGGGCCACTGCCCACTGGACTTACAAATGACTGCTAAAGCTGTACACTGACTTATAGGATGAGATAGCCACAGCTGCTGATGGATACTTAGCCCTCACTACCCCAGTCCTGGATCATGTAATCATGCTAAGAGATTACATATGTTACACGGACCTCTTACTCTTGGGTATGGGCCTCACCCTCACAGATTTGGAAGTTTAGATTTCTTACCCCAAGTTTTTGTTAACCATCCTGTAGGAAAGTGACTCATAGATCATGCCAAAATTGATCACTTAGCCAGATGGTCCTTTTTGTATTGATGTCCTGGGAGAAAACCAGATTAGATTAGTGAGGGAAGAGCTGGACAAAATGACATGTGACTTTATTTAGTCTCTGTGAGAAGTTGAGGGAGCTGGTCTCCAACAAGGAATGTTTGATCAGAACTCAAGTCATTCAGAGACTTGGTGCTCCCAGCCTTCTCTCCCTCATTGTCAGCAGAGTTCTGTTCATAAACCTCTTTTTGCAGAAGCTTTTTAGGTTGTACTTTGCTCACCAGTAGACACTTTCCCAAACACTCTTTTCAAAATGTAGTTGAGCACGCATTTGATTCCTGCACTCAAGGCAGAGGCGGGCAGCTCTTTTGAGTTTGAGGCCAGCCTGGTCTACGTGAGTTCCAGACTTCCAGACCAGCTGGGGCTACAAAGTGAGACGGAAAAAAAAAAAAAAAAAAAAAAAAGAACTTAAGATGTTTGAGTTTTTAGCGTGAATAGTCAGAGAAATGTACTTGTGGGTCAACTGGGGTGGAATGGGATGGGAAAAGTAGTTTTTTTGTTGTTGGTTAGGCCAGCCAGGACTTCATAGTCAGACCCTGACTCAGAAAAACAAACGGGCTGGAGAGATGGCTTAGTGGTTAAGAGCACTGATTGCTCTTGCAGAGGATCTGGGTTCAAATCCCAGGATCCACATGGTGGTTAGTAACGTTCTGTAACTCCAGTTCCAGGGGATCTTATATCCTCTTCTGACCTCCATGGGCATTGCATGACACAGGCGCTCTTACATACATGCAGGCAATACACTCATATACACAGAATAAAAATTAAAAAAAGAAAATGGGTAAATGAAATTGCTTTGTTAGGTTCCTTTCGCGAGGAAGAGCTTCATTGGAATCCCATGTTTTTCCTTATGTTGGAATTTAGTGTTCATGGCTATTGTTAAAGAACACGTTCTCGACCGGCGTGGTGATGCACGCTTTTAATCCCAGCACTTGGGAGGCAGAGGCAGGCAGACAAATCTTGTGAGTTTGAGGCCATCCTGGTCTACATAGTGAGTTCCAGGACAGCTGGGGCTACAAGGAGACCCTGTCTCAAAAAAGACAAAAAAAAAAAAAAAATTCTCTTCTTGAATGAAGAATTTGCTTTGCTTCTAGATTAGCAAGATCATACAACATATATCACCTTGCCATTTGGCACAGATAGTCTTAGGTGTCAGGGATACCCAAGTGAATAAACATTTTCACTTGGCTTCCTGTTTCCATAGAACTTACATTCAAGGGCTACAGATAACTAAATGTAATTTCATAACTAGGGAGGAAGAGTTGGATTCCTTATTGGGAGAGGATGCAAAGATGACTTTGGTTGGTTGTCGAACGCCCCCCAAGCCCACCAGGCTTGGGTCTTCAACAAGAAAAGAGTCAAGACAAAGGTCTTGATTTTATTATAAAAAGTTTAATTCTTAGCAGTCAAGCTGGCCTGTCTACCTTCTAGCCAACCTGTCTTTCTTGGGGGCGGGGCACATATTGTCATCAGGTACTACTGGCTAGTTAAATTTAAGGATCGCATAGAGAAGAATATAAGCCTAAGCCACTTATATTGATCCCTGACAGCTCCTGACACATGGCGGCACGTGCCTATAATCCCAGTACTTGGAAGGATAGGGGAAGGATTGCCTTGTAGAGGCTAGCCTGAGGTACATAGGGAGATGTTGTCTTAAAATACCAAGAACTGGGGATTATTACTCAGCGGTTGAATACTTACCTAGCCCTTTTGCTGGATCCCAAGCACTACGAATGAACAAAAGTCCTCTCTACCCAAAATACATTGGTCCTTAAGTATTGGAACCAGGTGACTGGTATGAGCCCGTCCACAGACTGGTGACTGACCAGCCTGCCCCCTGCCTCTTCCCATCTGTGACCTTTGCTTATTTTTGATAGTTGTGACAAACTTGTTTACATAAGAGGATTATAATATTTCTATGAGGGAATTGTCAGTAATTAAATGAAAAGCAGATAATACGTGTTAACAATCTACTTTAGTCTTTGGATCATTAAGTCTAAATTACTAGCTCTCCTTTGGAATATTAGAAGTGTGCTAATTATGTGACCTTCATAATTGCTGATGCCTTTTTCTGTATGTTTGTATTATTACATTTTATCATGCCTATATATATTTTTTTTTTTGGTCTTTTTGAGGCAGGGTCTCCCAGTAGCCCCAGCTGGCTTGGAACTCACTAACTCACTATGTAGACCAGGCTGGCCTCAGTCTCACAGAGTTCCTCCTGCCTCTGCCTCCTGAGTGCAGGGACTAAAGTTGTGCACTACCATACCTGGCTTCTTTTTAACTCGTAATTAACTGGAAGACACTAGAACATGCTTGGCATGCTGATGGTGCACTTCATCAGGGATTGAAAGAAGATGATGCTACTCCAAAAGAACAATAGTAGGATAGGGTACAGAGCACTGCCAGTGGAATGGCCTTTCATGGAAGCACATGATCCATAGTAACAGGAGGAGAAAAAATGAAAAGGTCAGGCCAGCTGTTGAGAATGTGGCTGTAATTACAGGTAGCCAGCAAGTTTTAAGAAAGGGGTGGGGTGGGGTAGCAGACTAGAGTGATAGCGTCATGGGCAAAGCACTTGAGGACCTGAGTTCAAATCTGCAGTACCTGTGTAAACACAGGGGAGTGTGGTGGCCACCTGTAATCTCAGAACTTGGGAGGTGGAGACAGGACCCTCAGAACAAGCTGGCTAGCTAGACTAGCCAAATTGGCAGCTCAGGGTTCAATTGAGAGACCTTACCTCAGTATATAAAGTGGAGAGTGATTGAGAAAGATGTGTGAACTCAACCTTTGGCCTCCATATGCATGCCACACATATCCAAGTATACCTGCATACACATATATCCCCAAACATGAAAACACACTCATACACACTACACACATATACAGGCAAAAAATTGAATAATAAACTAAAGAAATACCTTTAGTAAGATTCCTTTCAAATTAATGGATATGCCTCCCTGGGCTGTGTGTGTATGTGTGTGTGTGCGTGTGTGTGTGTGTGTGTATGTGTATGCTCACATACATAGGTTTGTTTTTTTTAATGGTTTGGGAATGTGAAGATTTTGTAATTTCTGAACACAGATTTCATAGAGAAAAGTGGTATATTGCTGATCAAATTTTACAGAATTGTGCAGTCTGACAAAAAAAATTTTTCTGCCCTCTTCGAGTGTATTGCCTGCACATGAGTAAGTGCACCCACGTCATGCAGTACCCTCAGAGGTCAGAAGAGGGCATTGTATTCCCCTGGAACTGGAGTTACAGTTAGCTGTCATGTGGGTGCTAGGAATCAAACCCAGGTCCTCTGCCAGAGCAGTCAGTACTCTTAACTGCTGAGCCATCTTTCCAGCCCCCTAGATATTGTCTTTTTTTTTTTTTTTTTAATAGAAGAGTTTATTTAGCTTAGGGTTCTAGAGGGATTAGAGTCCTGGATGGCTGGGAGGCATGGTGGCAGGAGGTGGCCCGAGAAAGCAAAGCGCTCACTTTTTTTTTTTAATTTATTTTTATTTTTATGTGTATGCATGAATTGCCTGTGTGTAGGTAAGCGCACCCATGTAGTGCAATGCCTGCGGAGGACAGAAGAGGCTGTTGGATCCCCTGGAACTGGAGTTATGGGGAATTGTTAGCTGCCATGTGAATGCTGGGATTCAGACCCGGGCCTTCTGCAAGAACAGTCAGTATTCTTAACTGCTGAGCCATCTCCAGCCCGGCATCTTATTTTATTTTTAGTTTTTTATTGAACTTTTGTATATTTCATACATAAAATCATCTTTATACTCCCTTGCCCCTTCTCCTTTGGCACCCTCCCAACCCCCCCCCCCCCACTGGAGTTCATACATTCTGTCATTTGTATTACGACCTATTATGTAAAGTTAATGTCCCGAGATGTCCCTCAGTGCAAGTTCATCCTCTGGGGCTTAGTCAGTCTATGTAGAGTCTCTTTCTTCAGGAAGATCTGCAGTTCCTCATCCAGCAGTAATTCTCTGACTAAGATTGGGGCTGTTCATTTCCACAGTTCTGTGCTGGGTTTTTGTCTGCCTAGGTTTGCTTGGATCTTGTGCATGCTGACACCATTACTGGAGGTTTGTATGAGAAAGGGCCTTGGCAAGCACTCACATCTTGAAGCAGGCACAGGAAGCAGAAGATACCACCTTCTCGTACTTGTTTATCTCATCAACAGAGATGAATCTCGGGAAGCTGTGTGTGTGTGTGTGTGTGTGTGTGTGTGTGTGTGTGTGTACACACGAGTGTGTTGTATATGAGGTACATGGAGGCTGGAGGAGGATGTCAGGAGTCCTCTATCACTCTGCTTTATTCCCCTGAGACAGAGCCTCTTACTGAATTTAGGCTTATGGACAGCAAGCCTCAGTAATCCACCTGTCTCCTCCCCACAGTGCTCTGGTTACAAGGCATGCATGTGACTAGCTTGCCAGGCTTTTATGTGGGTGGTGGGGATCAGAACTCAGATCATCATGCTTACCCAACAAGCACTTTTACCACTGAACCATGTCTCATTTTTTTGGTTTTAAAATTTATCTCGTGTGAGTGTTTTGCCTCCATGCATGTAAGTGCACCTGTGTTGTGTAAAGCCTGCGGAGGCCAGAGGAACGTGTAAGAGCCCCCTGGACTGGAGTTATGGACAGTTGTTAGCCACCAGGTGGGTGCTGGGACTCGAACCCAGGTCTTCTGGAAGAGTAGCCAGTGCTTTTAACTGTTGAGCCATCCTTCCAGTCCCTGGTAGAATTTCTTTTGATTTTCATCTTGTGGCATATAATGCATAGGGCTAATATTTTGTATTTCTCCAATTATTTTTATTTTATTGGGTTTTTGTTTATTTTGCTATGTGGACTAGTCTGGCCTCCATCTTACAGAGAACTGCCTGCCTCTCCTTCCCAAATGCAACGATTAAATGCTGCCTTTTTTCCACATTTTTTGAAAATGTTATGGTTACCATAAAAATTTCAGATCCCAAATTGGGTGCTTAGAAACAATTTAAAAATGTTTCCGGGAGAGTACCACATATGTCTTGTTCCTTCTCATCTGGATCAAAGTTGTGAGCACTCTGATGCTCATTCTCTTGAACCTTCTAACTTTGGGGCTTGGTTTTGTTTTGTAGGGTTAATAACAAATGTTTCTCTAAGACGGAAGAAAAAGATGTCATTCCGTAAAGGTATGCTGTCTCTACAAGTTACATGTTTTTATATCTACCTAGTCAAAGGTTAAGAGATGTAATGCATTTTCCTCGTCTGTTTCAGTGAACATCATCATCTGGCTCCTGGCTGCTGTTCTCTTCTTACTGGTTTTGCACCATAACTTCCTCAGCCTGATCAGTTTGCTAAGGAATGAGGTTTCAGGTATGAGAACCTTTACTGATGCCTTACTAATGTTTTCTGTTGACAACCTGGAGGTCTCTATGTTCCATATCCTAACTTAAATCACTGTGTTAAAGAAAGCTTGCTTTTTTGCCTTACAAAGACCAGGAAGAAGGCTTGCTTGATGCCCTTCATCTTCATGTGGTGCCTGCCATGCTTCTCCCTATGGTGCAGTCCTTGGCTAAGGACTTGATCTGTCATAATACTCCTCTCCACCAAGTCATTAGCCTTAAGGAGTCTGTGGACTGCTGTGTGCTTGCATTTCAGTAGAGCAGAGCTTGGAAGATTGATGCAGGCAAGTAGCCCTGGTGTTTGATGCCTGCCCTTGTCACTACACAGGGTCATCTGGCTGCTTTCCTTCATCTGTTACTTTGTTTTAATTTGAATGATCACATCAGTAGGAGTCTTTTTTAAAAAAGTATTTTATAAAAGGCCAGGTGTGGTGGCACACACCTTTAATCCCAGCACTTGGGAGGCAGAGGCAGGCAGACAAATCTTTGTGAGTTTGAGGCCAGCCTGGTCTACATAGTGAGTTCCAGGACAGCTGGGGCTACAAGGAGACCATGTCTCAAAAAGACCAAAAAAAAAGTATTATTTTTATTTTATGTGTACGAGTGTATTGTCTGCATGTAGATAGGTGCATCCGTGTCATGCAGTGCCCATGGAGATCAGAAGAGGGCATTGGATCCCCTGGAACTGGAGTTATGGACAGTTGTTAGCTGCCATGTGGGTGCTAGGAATCAAACCTGGGTCTTCTGTAAGAGCAGTCAGTGTTTTTAACTGCTGAGCCATCCCTCTAGCCCCTCAGTAGGAGGCTTGTAACGAAACAGACATCATAAAGGCCTGTCAGATTTAAAAAAAAAAATACTATTTTTATATTTTATGAGTGTATTGCTTGCATGTGTGTAAGTGCGCCCGTGTCGTGCAGTGCCCTCAGAGGTCAGAAGGTATCAGATTCCCCTGGAACTGGAGTTACGGATGGTTGTTAACTGCCATGTGGGTGCTGGGAATTGAACCCGGGTCCTCTGCAAGAGCAGTCAGTGCTCTTAACCCCTGAGCCATCTCTCCAGCCCCCTATTTTTATTTTTTATGTATGAGAATATATTGCCTGTGTGTGTATGTAAGTGCACCTGCCATGCCCACAGAAGTCAGAAGAGAGCCAGGTGTGGTGGCATATGGCTTTATTCCCAGCACTGGGGAGGCAGAGGCAGGCAGATCTCTGAGCTCAAAGCCAGTCTAGTCTATATAGTGAGTTCTAAGCCAGCTGGGGCTATAGGGAAACCGTGTCTCAAAAAGACCAAAAAAGAACAGAAGAGGGTGTCAGATCCCCTGGAACTGGAGTTATGGATGGTTGTTAACTGCCATGTGGGTGCTGGGAATCGAACCCAGGTCCTCTTTAAGAGCAGTCAGTGCTCTTAATTGCTGAGCCATCTCTCCAGTTCCTTGCCAACAGATTTTAAAGAATAACTTTATTGTATAATTCCATTGCAGTTATTTAGTTGTTTATCCTATTCTACCTTGGTATCGAAGGATGTTTGACAAACAGGTTTCAGGTAGTTTGTCAGAAATCTTTTTGTTGATGTTTTGTTTTTGGTTGTTTTGAGACAGGGTCTCATGTAATTCAGGCTGGCCTAGAAGTCACTATGTGGTTCAGGCTGGCCTTGAATTCCTGATCCTCCTGCCTCATCCTCAGTAATGATGGGATTACAAGTGTGAGCCACAGAATCTGGCTTTTCAAAAATAGTTTTTGAGGCTGGGAGTGGTAGTGCATACCTTTAATCATTGAGGCAGAGGCAGGCAGATCTCTTTGAGGCCAGTCTGGTCTATAGAGTGAGTTCCAGGCCAAAAAGGCAAGTGGGGGGAGATAGCTAGACGGACATGGGTAATTGGGTAAAAGTGGTGCCACGAAGTCTGACAACCTGAGTCCAATCTCCAGAACACATATGGTAGAAGGAGAACTAACTCTACAAAGCTATTCTCTGACAACCAAATGCACATGCACATGCACCCCCCCAGCTTCATACATACACATACATTATACACACACACACACACACACAATAAGTAGAATTAGAAAAAAAACCTCAAAGCCATCCTTGGTTACATATCAAGTTTGAGGTCAGCCTGGGCTACATGAGAATCTCTCTCTCAAAAGAAACAGAAAAAAAGAAAAGAATAAAGTGGGTATGTTATATTTTAGATTTAGACCACATCTGTAATCCCAGCACTTAGAATACCAGGAATATGAGGCCAGACGGGGCTACAGAGTAAGACAGACAGACAGACAGACACACACACACACACACACCCTTTTAATAAAATAAAACAAACTAAGGCAATCAAGTTGCATTCCAGCTTCATAGGCAATTTGTTACTGCTTTATCTTCTCAGTCTACACAGATGGAGTTATTTAGTAAATAGCTGAACTCATTGACTTGAGATAACTGCTGTACAAATTTTGACTCAGTTCTTTCCTCTATGCACATATATATTTTTTGTATATCTGAAATTATACTAACATCCATGACATGTTTTTCCATGTGATTTTTATCATAAGCATAACAAACTTTATATGTAATTTAAAAAAATGTTTATGTTTGTAAATTTAATGCCATAAATTTACTTGTCTCCACAGGAAGTAATCTTTAATTATAACTTTCAGACTTGGATGGCAATCCTATACTAAGAATTACATTACATGCACACATGTGTACATATATGCTTATTGTCCATGGTATTAGACTTGTATGTTTTATTCATGGCTATAACTCCAGTGCTAGACATTTCCTAGCATGTAATGTGTACTCAGCCTTCAATGATGAATGAATGAATACACCTCTGTTCCTCTGGATCCATAGGACTGGGTATAGACCCAAATCTTCAGTTACTAATGTCTCATAAAATTGCATAGTACTTGGCATATTACCATGCACTACAAAGCATGTCTGGATTACATATAATATCTTGTATAACAAATAGTTGCTGTAATGTTTAGGTAGTAGTGATTGAAATTCAAGGCTTTACATATTTAACACTGCTTTTTTTTTAGAATTATTATTTTATTGTGGTGCATACTCAAACTTTATTTATAGAGATACTCAAAAGTTGAACACTTACAAGTTTGAAACATTTAACATCAGTACTGTCTTAAAAGTTTCATGCCACTTTATCCATTGACTTCTTTGATTCTTTTTTTTTTTCTTAGTAAAAGCAGACATTTTAACATATATTGTGGAACAAGCTCTACACTGAATTATTTACATGTATTAATTCATTATACAGTCACTCTGAAAGATAGTAACAAGCTAGATGTAGGACTTGTAGTCTTATCTACAATTGTGTAGAGATTCTGTTGGAAAAGAGACATTGACCCTAAAATATTGGTTCACATATCTTGAAAATACTTCTTTTCAGATAAGATCCTCTCTTTTTTTTTTTTTCATGTACTCTTTTATTTATTTTTTTAATGAGGCTTTTTGCTACTCTAACGTTCCCCCCTCTGAAGGGGTAACCCTGAAATCTTTAAAGGATTAGATAAAAGCTCCCAAATACTTTTGACATTTTTGGCTTTTGGAACAGAGTATGTTGCTAAGAGGCCCAATAACATTGTGAGTTTTAGCCAAAAAATTGGCTACTTTTCTTTGAGGCTTTTTTCCATAAATGCCTAGCCAATTCCGACCTCCTATTCTTATCATCTTCTGGAGAGGTTACCCCAACTTGCGGATAGGGAATCAGGACACAGACCGCTCTGGCTTCTTCCATGCTGAACAAGGACGCAGGGTGAGGCATTTAGAGTACCCCTTCAGTGCGCCTATCTAAAAGACTCCCAAATTGCATAACTTATCTGTAGGGGGTAAAGAAAGTCCTTGACTGGTGAATAGGAGATGTGAAGGAGAAATAAAGGGAAGAGTAATTAGCATTACAAGTTCTAGACAGGGAACTAGAAAAAAGTCAGAACAGGGCAATTTTCAAATGTTCATATGAGAGTCCACTGGACTTTCTTGACAAGGGCTTCCAAAAGTATTTCTCTATTGGGTTCCTCATTTTTCTTTTGTCTGTCAAGACTGGACTCTAGAGTGATGGATTCAGGATTTGCTTTCAGGTATTTTGATAGCTGTTGGAGTGGTTAGAATCAGTGTCAGTTCCCTCTCAAAGGCTTCTAGATAGGGGGAGAAAACAAATTTATCCATCATTTTAGAACAATAGTAGGTTGTCTCCCTTAGCTACAGGTGGGTACTACATTATTGCAGACCAAGATTTGAAGTCTTACATCTGAGTAGCACTTTCTGATTAGGAACAAAATCATCAATGAAAAATAATTGTCTAAATAACCTTTTATATGGACTTAAGCCTAATGTCTGGGAAGTGTAATCCCTTGAACTCTTTTAATATAC